AACGACAAAATAAGAGCGTTTTCAATCGATAGGTTTCTCAACCGATAGATTTAAGCGAATCGTTGGTGGCAGTACGTCAGAACATCCGTATCCTTATCAAGTATCATTGAGATATTTAAATTCCACATTGCATTTCTGTGGTGGAGCCATTATCAGCAAGAATTATATTATTACCGCCGCACACTGTCTTAAGTATGTATTTGCTTTTTTCAAGTTCAAAATATATAGTTAATCACTTAATTGGTATTTTTTTACATATCTTTAATTTTATTTTAAGAAACAAAAAGTACCGTTATTAATCGGGCACTATTTTATATTACAAATTAATGGAATAATTTTAATTAAAAAAAATCTTGCGTCTGACAAATAAAATATAGAGAAATATTTGTAACAATTTTTACGACGTCTAAAAATGCAGTTTATTTTACTTGTATAATTAAGGCGTTTCTACGTTTAAAGACTTTCGTTAATTCAATTGCGTAAATATAAAATTATTATAATTCTTATTAAGTTATTATAGATTTCAACCGTCCGATGTTTTCGTAACTGTTGGAAGCAATGATCTTCTCACACCTAGTGCGATATATCAAGCTACATCCTTCATAATACATCCTTCTTATGACGAGTACACTAATGACATTGGTTTAATTTACGTGATGCAAGATATTGAGTTTAACGAAAATGTTAGGCCGATTGCTTTAGCAAGTGCTGATTACACGTACAATGATTATCCTCTTTTAGTTACTGGATGGGGACAACTCGAGGTAATTACTAAAATATTATAATGTAATAATTTAAACAAATTTGAATAAAAATAAATAAATAAATAAATTTTAATGATAATTTAAAAGTTTCAGGCATAGATCTCCTTTTTATCATTTTAATTTTGAATTTTACTTTGTTGTTTAAATAAAATTTGTAAGATAAATCTTTGAAAATATGTATTAAATATGTTTTATAAAAATTATATAATAATTGCATCTTTTGGAATCTTTTTGAATTTGTTATAATTTAGATAAGATATTACTAAGATATCAGTTAAATTAAAAACAATATTTTTAGACAGAAGGTCCATATCCTAATTATTTACAAGAAATTAGAGTGAAAGTATATTCTCAAATCATGTGCAACTACTATTACGAAAATATTATTGCAAACACTCAAATATGTACCCTTACAGTACAGGGTGAAGGAATGTGTGTGGTAAATATATATAAATTATATACATGTATTTAAAGTAATATAAATATAAAGTATATATATTTATATTAAAAAATAAAAAGAAAAGAAAGCTATTTATTATTCAGATCGTTGTTATATTGTGGATAACAAAATTTATTTTTTTACAATTAAAATGATTTTAAAATAATTAATAAAAATTTTTAATAAAATATGAAATTTCTTAAAAATATTAATAGTATATAAGAGAAACTTTGACGAACTTATTGATATCTATATTATTTCAACAGGGTGATTCCGGTAGCCCACTCATTGATAATGATGTGCTTATTGGTATTGTGTCCTTCGGTATGCCTCCATGTGGTAGTGGTTTCCCAGATGTATACACCAGGGTGTTTTATTATAGACCATGGATTTATTTTTATGCAAGAATTTAATTCAATGACAACATCGCAGAAGAATACACATTAGTACTAAAATTGTTATTATTTATAACATTTATTATTTTAAAACATGTAAATTATTTTTGCTTTTTTACCAAATCTACTTGTATA